ATCTTTGAATAGGAAAACGAGCAGACCGGTAGCAGGTTTAAAACCTATTTATTCAAAAATAAAGTCATAATTCAGTCTTTAATATTAATATTAATGATAATGTTATTAAATTGTCTCTATCTCTAGACAACAGATCGTATCTATTATTATTAAATCAGGGATTACTCCTGCTTTATAATGAGAAGATTGCTTACAGGACAATGTTAGAAGTGTTGTGGAAGGAAAAGAAGCTAAAAATGTTGTTTATAATGCTCTTCAGTCTTGTCCAATACAATGTATCAAGCATACTCGCAGTGAATTTGATTGAGAGATTTTTTACTTTTGATTCTACATTATTGTCATGGGTGGTCTGTTACACGTGCAGGACGATGTATCAATACCAGATTTGAATCAAAGCAAAGATTCTGGAGATCAAGTCGGCAATGGTGAAGACCAGTCTACGGAATCTGGAGACGAGGATGGAGGGTAGGAATTAAGTGGCGGAGCCAGGATTCAATGATACGGGGGGCTACTGGGTTGGATAGTGTGCTACTAGGTTGGACAGTAGAAAAAAATGGACTATAACCAATTTTTTTTTTAAACAAAATTTGGCTTGGGCAGGGGTGGCCACTGGAAAAGACTGAATCTACCAATAGCAGGCAAAACAAGAAGCTATACACCGAGGAAGGCATGCTGAACACCAAGTTGAGAAAGGCAGAGAAAAAAGACGGAAAAAGGAAAACCAATCATCTGCAGTGGAACGTGACATGGACAATGATTACGATTTTTATTTTTTTTCCTGTGTATTAGTTCTACAAACTAAACCAAACTAAAATTGTTGGCTGTTTTTCTGTCTTTTATCTTGGAGTCAAGTTGTTTTTTTTGTTTTAAATTTATTTATTCCTTTGGTGAAGTTGGTTTTTATCTGCATATAGTGTTAAGACTAACTGAGATGTGATTTGAACATGCAAGAAGAGGGTTATATATATAATAATAACTAAAAGTCCGCTGGATACAAACAAATAATACGTAACAGTTAAGAATTAAGATACATCTAAAAGATATTTCTGGTTTGCGCAAAAGCAAAGAAATTCTGCCCGCACAAGACAATAGATGGATCAACAAATTGTGAATGTGAAATTGATCCAAAAAATTACACATGGATCAAGATTATCTGAGAAAGCAGCAAGCTTTGCTAGTCTTCATATAATTTGTCTGAAGGTGGATATTACGCGATAAATGGAGTACAGGGTGGAAAATGGAACGGAGGCTTTAGGTGGTATTTGATATGCCAAATGAATGGCAGTCGAGATCATTCAGTATTCTTGTATATATGTGGCCATTAGATGTTCTATGTACTTGTATCAAATATAGAACCTTTGTGCTTTGAATTATTTAATAGTCTTGCTAAAGCCTAGTTTGGCCAATTTCATTCTTTTTATTCATGTGTTTTAAGGAGAGCAAGAGTGAAAATAACCATAAATGGCAGGCATACAAAGGATTTGGAACATTTGGTTCAAGATTGATAAACTCAGATGTCTTGGATAGATTTGAAATCTTATATCACAAAGGATCAGATCTGAATTAAAAGCCATTATTCTTCTGTAACTTGAGATGTCAATTATTTGAGTTCTATTACCATGCATTCACTGATTTATTTTAAACCTTCAAGGATTCATAATATGATTGAAGAAAGGCAGTTCATGTCTCCCGGCAACAACAGCAAATGCAGCAGCAATGGAAATTCTGTTAGCTGATTCTTGACAATGACAGATTGTGTTTTAAGATATGCGAAGCGCTCAACCAACATTCTCTTACCAGAGTAATATGTGTTTCACCGAATCTCTTTGGCTAAAGAATTAGTAAAAGCGACCTATATGATATGGAACTAAACAGTGATTCACGTCTCAAACCTCCATCATATGTGTATAATCCTCAACAATGTAAGATGATGTAATATTTTCTGATCAATCAATATCTCAATTATCCAAAACTGCAAGGAAATAAATATCATATCCATATTGGTAAAGGTTCAATCTAATCATACAGGTGGATTTAGAAAAATGAGATTGTCAAACTTTTCTTGGTGACTGCTAGCATATTTGATCACAACTGGTGAAATGTATCCCTACAAAAGAACGGTATAGGCTAATATTCATCAAAATTAGTGGCCGACTTTGAAAGTATGGTTATAGATCCAAATTCAAGATGACATGTACCTGGACAACAAGAGTAACCTTATCTTTTGAGTTCATTGATAACAGGTTACAAGGATGACACTGAGCCAGAAGGCAACTTTTAGCATTGATAGTAGATATTTTCTTTCCTAGTGACATGATAACTAATTAAAATCTTATGGCGGAAAATACCATCCAAAGCGGAGTCAAAGCCATGTTATCCAAATCCAGCGAGAACAAGAATGCCAAGAACGGTACTTTTGGAATGACTTATCGTTTATGCCACGAACAGTAGGATCGGTAGCAGGTTTAGAACTAATTTATTCAAAAAACGAGTCATAATTCTGTCCTTAATATTAATGATGATATTATTAAATTGCTCTCTCTCTCTCTCTCTCTCTACGCAACAAATTCGTCTATTCTATCGATCTATCATTTTTAAATCAGGGAGTACGTCTTCAAAATAGTGATCATGCATAAAATAAAACATAATGTGTAAAATCAGAAGCTAAGAACACGTAATAATACCTATAAGAAAAATTACAAAACCAAAGTTAAATATCTTTGGAATCTAAATAATAGCATTGTTAAACAATAGATCTGACAATGTGACCCTTAAATAAGTTGTGACTTATAAATTTATAATTTGTAACCAATAAATGAATTGTAATTTATAAACACTTTGATTTTGTGAGCGATAAATAAATTGTGACCTATAAAAATTTTTGATTTGTGATCGAGAAATAAATTGTGATTAATAAAAAAATTATTTGTGATCAAGGTGACCTATAATTTTTTTTTGAATTGTGATCAAGAAAAATTTATAATCAATTAATTCGAGAATTTGTGATCAAATTATATGGAATTGTGACATTAATATATTTTATTAATAAAAATTTATTTTTAATTAATTATTTCATAAATAAATTTTAATAAATATCTGATTTTTTGAAATTTTAAACCTTTTATCTTAGTTTTAAAATGCGTGATAGCTTACTCATGAATTTTTCCCTTTATTTTTTGTGGAAATTACATAAAACCAGAATTTTAAAGATTAAATTTCAAAAGTCAGATTAAAAGTTTCACTTTTCTAAAATTAGATATTTAATTTTAAATATTAAATATTAATTGTACAATTTTTTTCCAAACCCTTATCAATTTCATTCCAATTCTCCCCCTCTTCTCTTCTCTCTCTCTACTTTCCGTCACTCTCTTTTCTCTCATCTCCACTCTCCTCCCTCTCCCATCGTGACCTATAAAATTTTTGAATTGTGACCTTAAAACTTTTGGATTATGACCTTAAACCTATAAAATTTTTGAATTGTGACTTTAAATTTTTT